CGCCGTGCCTCGGGCTGGCAGGAGGTGGCTCTGCCGCCGCCCCCGTGTCTCGGATGACGGGTTGGGTGTGCACGGCCCTCTGAGACTTGCGGGCTGCTTGGTGGGCTGGACTCGCCCCCCAAGTTTCCCAGTCTGAGTCACTCTCAGATTGGTCGCTGCCCCGCCTGCGCCTCCTTGGCTTCCTCTGAGGAGACGGTGGCACTTGGAGGGTCCCGTCTTCCCCCTTGCCCACGTGGGCGCCGCGCCCCATTCTGTCCACAGAGCAGGCGCCTCCCCGGGGTTACGTCACCTTCAGCAGCAGTGATGAGAACCCCCTGGGAGGCCGGGGCCTCTGCTACAGGGACGTCACCTCCCCCATCAACGACCGGGACGTGGAGAGCAGCAGCAGCAGCAGTCGGGGTACGCGCCGCCTGTGCGCCGCCTCCCCACGCCACCCCGCCTCCCCCAGCTGGGCTTGGGCTGAGGCGGATTTAGGCGAGTCTGGCGCCCAGGGAGGACAGCGGGGAGGCGCCGGCGCGCCTGGTCCTGCGGGGACAGGCGCGTGGGGCCGGGGTGGACAAGCCGGGGGTCCTCTGAGCAGGCGGGCTCCGGAGCCCGTCTCCGCACGTCACGACCCTCGGCGGGAGCGGGGCGCGCCCAGACTCGTCCCACGTGGGCCTGTCGCTCAGCAGGACAGAGGAGGGCGGCTGGGCCAGGCTGGTCAGCGTGAAGCAGAGGGAAGGAGCTGGTGGCCAGGGGTCAGTGCGTGTCCGCGGACGAGGCCTGTGTGCAGCGCCCTGTTCCCCCCCCAGAGGAGCGCCCCTTCTGCGCCGAGCGGGCGGCTGTGCGGAGCAGCAGCAGCAGCGAGGGGCTGGCGAGGGCCCCGGGGCTCAGCAGCGAGGCCTCCTTGGAGAGCAACGAGGTGAAGACTCCTTCCCGGGCTCCCCACCCCCTTTCCTGGCGCCCTGGCGTGCCTCACGAACGTGTCTGAGGCGAGCGAGGCGGGTAACCAGCGTCTCGTGTGTGCCCGCCCTGGGCTCACGGGCCTGCCTCCGGCAGCGCCCCCCAGGTTCGGCAGCACGGAGGGCGGTGCAAGGAGCAGCGGGGGGCGCTTCCTGCAGGGTTTCCTCTCGCCCCACCCGCCCTGGGAGTGGCCCCGATGAGGGTGGACGCGCGGCGGTCAGCCAGCCCCCACGCACGGCTCTTGCCGCAGGACTCGGACCACGCGCGGGGGAGCTCGGTTCGCAAACAAACTAAGAATTACGTGAAGACCAAGCACCGTCATAGCAACAGCGACAGCCAGTTGCCTCCTGGCACGGGACCTTTCGGGGCAGCCTGTTCGCCGGGATCTGCCCCCCAGACTGAGAGGCCCCCCTATTCTGGGCCCCAGGTAAGGCCCCTGGCAGAGCTGGTGTTTGCACATAGAGGGCACTTGCGGCCGGGCCAGGCCCCCCGGGAGAAAAGCCGACCCGAGACCTCAGAGGCCGTGGCTGGTAATGCAGGTTTTACAGAGTGGGTTTGGAAAAGTCTAAACAAGGGTCAGCAGTGCCTGGGGAGGAAGGGAAGTCGGCTCTCCAGAGTTGCCACATTCAAATGGCTGGTTGTCTTTTCATTAATTTTTTAAAATGGTTTATTTATGCCTATAGCAGTTGGGGTGCAGGCCAGAGCGGGTGGTGAGAGGACTCCCCAGAGACAGAGTGGGGACAACAGGGGGATCCACTGAAATCTACTGCTGAGGGGAGCAGCGGGCGGACAGGAGGGGCTTCTTGGGCCCTGGGGGTCTCTCCCCGGCTGGGGAATCACGCACCGCAGTGGCTGTGGACAGCTTCGCAGTGCCGCGAGGGAGGCCCAAGTCTTGGTTCTTCTGAGGTGAATGGTGATGGCTGCACAGTGTGAATGTACTCAAAGCCCCCAAATGGCATGCTTAAAATGGCTCAAGTGATACACTTCACACCAGGAAAGGAAGTAGGCTGGGGCTGCAGCCTCAAGCCACAGTCGTCGTCTGAGCTAGGGAAGGTCCCTCGCCTCTCTGTGGAGGCAGAGACGGGGTGCCGGGCGGGCCAGCAGGTGCTCGACGCACAGCGCCTGCTCTCCGCGTCCCCCCAGGACCTCGCAGCGCTGCTGGAGCAGATCGGATGCCTCAAGTACCTGCAGGTCTTCGAGGAGCAGGACGTGGACCTCCGCATCTTCCTGACGCTCACCGAGAGCGACCTGAAGGAGATCGGCGTCACGTGAGTGCCCGGGCGCCCGCGGGCTCCTCCTGGTCTGGGCGGTGTCCGGAGGCCTGCGCCAGGCCGGGGAGCCCCCGCCAGGCCGTTTCCCTGCCTGCACACCTGCCCCGGCCGCCTGGTCTTTAAAGAGAAGCACCCGCCGGCGCCCCAGCCCGCCCCTGCCCTGCGCGCCTGTGCTGTGCGCCCTCTGGTGTCTTCGTCCGGCCAGCTGCTGCGTTTCCTCTTACTGCATATGCAGGCGAAATTGTCCCATGTTCGCGGGACATGATTTCTTTTTTTTATGCACACAAGAACTGGGGTACAGGCCAGAGGGGCAGGGGTGAGAGGACTCCCCAGAGACAGAGCGGGGAGCGGCACACGCAGATCCACTGAGACTCACTGCCGAGGGGGCAGCGGGGAGGCGGGAGGGGCCTGCCGCGCCTGGGGTCCCTCCCGGCCGGGACGGACGCGTGCTGCGCTTTGACCCGCAGCGCCGCCAGGGAGGCCCGAGAACAAGATTTTTGATTTTTTTAAGTTTTTGCGTGTTGTTTCTCTAACGTTCCACTCACCCTCCACCAAGCCACGTGCCGGTGCTCGCCGCCCCGCCCTTCCCTCTGGGGCCCACTGCTAAATTCCTGCCCCACGTCCGCGGTCCACCCCTGCCGCACTCTGCCCTTGTGTCCTCTCGTGATTTGTGCCCACGGGTGACTGAAGCCGCCCACCGGCCGTGTCACTTCTCGCTCGGTGCCGCGTTGTGCCGGGGCTGCCTCGGATCTGCCCCACGGGCCCACGCCACGCTGGCGGCTGCGGGACACAAGCCCTCAGCACCGGGTTTCGTGTCGCTCGCGTAGGTACCGACTGGCGCTGTCGCCAGATTGTCAGGGTTCCCATTTCTCTATTAAGGAACCCCCAAACCGCCGTCCACAGGGCCGCGTCCGCTTGCTGCCTGCCAGGTTGGCCGGCCCTGTGCTCCCCGTGGGTTCCCTGGCGATCGGCGCGTTGAGCAGCCAGCTCGTGTCTGCAGAGACTCTGGGCCCTCGGCCATGCCGGGCTGGGTGTCCAGGGCCCTGCGGGCCTCAGCCACCTCCTCCCGCGTGGCCCGCCTGCCTTTGCGGGGTTCCATTTAGGTTCTCGGCCTCCCACTTGGACACGGTCCCACCTCTTGCTGCGGCTCTGCCACCTCTTTGTGGCGCCCGGGGGCGCCCTGTGCCTCTCAGGGCGTGTGTGGTGTCAGTGCCTGTCGCTACATCTTGAGTGCCCTGAGTGAACCTGAGGAGGGGTTTCTGGCCAACTGGCCTCCACATACCCCTAGTCCCCCGCCTCGTGCCCATGGCGACGCCTCATCTCTCCAGAGCACCAGCCGCCCACCGCAGCCCCTACCTGGCACCTGTTGGTGGGCCTGAGCGTCCTTCCCACACCTGAGGAACAGCAGGGGACGCTCAGCCTGACGGCCCTCCCGCTCGGCGCATGGGCTCGTCAGCGGCCCTGGGGCAGGGCTGCTGGTCACGTGGCCGAGGGAGGTCTGGCCGCTTCCCGGGAAGGCGGGCCCGTCTGCCTCTCCCATGTCCCCTTCCTTCCCAGCCTGACCTGTGTGTCGGCTGCGCTTGCCCGAGCCCTGCCCGGACGCGCGCGTCAGCCCCTGTCCCTGTGTGGGCTCATCTCTGGGCTGTCCGCTCTGTCAGTCGCACTCCTGTCTCCGTCCCGGCACCGGTTCCTCTAGGGCTACACGACGCCTCTGGCATTGTTGTAACGATTTGCGCACACAAGAGCCAGGATACAGGCCGGGGTACAGGGTGAGAGGGCTCCCCAGAGACAGAGGGCAGAACAGCAGATGGACTGAGACCCACTGCTGCGGGGAGCGGCGGGGCAGGAGGGGCTGCCGCGCCCTGGTCACGCCCTGGCGGGACCGAGCTTGCAGCAGCGGCTGGGACGGCCTCACGGCCCGTGCTCTGAGCCCTGCGCCGCCAGGGAGGCCTGAGCCCTTTCCTCGGAACGGCTTTAGCTGTTCAGTCTCCCGTGGCCATCTCAGCTGTTATTTTCCTTTCCCTTGAAGACGCGGCCTTGACAGGGATGACGCTGAGGCCTCAGTCTGCCGCTTCTCATCTTTTAGGAAGTCTTGGGTTGATTCTCGGGTCTTCAACCTTCCTGCTTTGTGCTGACTTTGCGGCCCCCTTGTCTCTAGTAACCTGCCTTTGGGGTTCTGTGTGAGCAGCACCTGCAGGGCACGACTCCCTCGAGCTGGTCTGGCTGCTCCAGCAGAGCCAGCTGCAGAGCGGAGCCGTGCGGCTGCCCGCAGCCTCCGCGTCCCACCCCCCCCTCACCGCGTGTTCCTCCAGCCGGCCTTCCCCGTGGCGGCTGGAGCAGAGGCCCCGCGTGGCCAAGCCCCGCACTGGCACTGCGTGGGGGACCCAGAGCCTCGGCTGCCCTCGTGGCTGGGTGCAGGCGCCACCCCTCCGGCCCAGCTGTGTTGGGTCTCGAGTCCCCCCCAGATCAGGTCAGGCACTGTGCAGTGCACTGTGTGCCGTGCAGGTCCTATATTCCTGGGCGACCGCAGGGTTCACAGTCCCCAATGAGAGGCTCTGTGGGGCGGCCGCCCTGGCTCACGGATCGCACCCTGGGGGCCGCCGACACAGCGCCACACCGCGGAGCCCACCGCGGAGCCCACTCTCCTCGCAGTGTGGCTCCCAGGGCTTGGTTCTGCCCACTGCGATTGTTTCACACTGGGAGGAGGAGGTGAGCCCCTACCTTTGACCGACTGGCATCTGCCAGACACCGAGAAACCTCCGGGCCCTCTGGCACCAGAGGCCTGCAGGGCTGTCCCTCTAGCACTAAACTGTTCTAGGGAAACTGGCAGGCAGACGGGTGGCCCAAGGACCCCGTGCACAGAGCAGGGTGACCCCCTCTTCCTGCTCACCGCCGCAGGTTGTTCGGGCCCAAGAGGAAGATGACCTCTGCCATCGCCCGCTGGCACAGCAGCGCCCGCCCCCCCAGCGATGCCCTGGAGCTGGCCTATGCTGACCGGCTGGAGGCGGAGATGCAGGAGCTTGCCATTCAGCTGCACAGGGTGAGGCCTCTGGACACCAGAGTGCGGGGAGCAGAAGGGACGCAGGGGCCAGACAGGAAGTCTCGCCGCTTGGACTTGGGACGTGGGAGTCATGGGGGCAGGGAGAGGGCGAGGGTGGGACCACGGAAGAGGGCCCAGAGGAGGGGGCACCCACCGCGGGCGCTGCAGCCTTCACGCCGCCCGCCCACGCCCGCGCAGCGCTGCGAGGAGCTGGAGGCCACGCGGGGCCAGGTGTCGCAGGAGCAGGAGCTGCGGGCCGTGGTGGAGAGCTGCCTGCTCGAGCAGGACAGTGCCCGCAAGGACGTCCACGCGCGCCTGCAGGAGGCCTGGGCCTTGGCCCGCGATGCCGCGCTCGTCCTGGACCAGCTACGGTGAGTGGCGGCCGAGGGCCTGGCCCCGTGCCCGTCAGTCCTTACCGAGGTGTGCTGCCTCTGCCTTCTCTCTGGCTGTGGTGCCTGCCGAGCCCACCCCCCTGGGGGTCCGGGTGCCCTTCCCGGCCCAGTCTCCAGGCTGCTCTCTCAGCAGCACCCGGTCTTGCCCAGCAGAGCCTGCCAGGTCGAGCTGTCGGCGCGACTCACGGGGGACGAGTCTCCCTGCCAGGCAGCGCTGGGCCCAGCCCTCCCCACTGCTGGTAAGCGGAGCAGCGCCCTGCCCTGGAGCCGGCAGGCGGGGGGCAGGGGACGGGGGGACGCCCCTCAGCGGTCTGACCGCCTGCTCAGTGTGGCCTTCACATTAACGCCCCGGCCCTCAGCCCCAGAGAGACGGTGCCTGGCCGCCCTGCGGGCGGGGGAAGGCACCCTGAGGGACAAGGCCCATGACCTTCAGTGTTGGCTTCTGGGGCATGTTCCCTCCTGCACTGCGCACTTCAGCCGGCGGGCCCTCGGGTGGGGCGGGGGCTCTGTCCGAGGAGGGTCCCCTGTAAGGCAGCTCGGAGCCACGTGGGAGGGCCTTGGGCTCGCCGCCCAGGCCGACCCAGCCCTCACCCACAGACCCCAAAGGCTGCCAGGCCGCGCTGCAGGCCCTGAGCCTCCCCGAGCTGTCGGGGGCACTGGCAGACCGGATCCACGAGATGGGTGAGTCTCCAGGAGGGCAGACGGGGGGCACAGGGGGCCCTGGGTGCCGCCGGGGGCCTGGCGAGGGGCAGGCTGTCCGCTCCCAGGCTCGCAGGTGCGGAGGTGTGACCGCTCCGTCTGCCCCAGGGCGAGCGCTGTGCTCCGTGACACAGAGCCTGGAGAAGCTGCAGCTGCTGAACGGGAAAGAGAACTGGCGGGAGCCTTAGCCGGAGGGACGGTGAGCGTGCAGCCCAGGCCGGGTTGGGCGCGGCTCGGGCGGGGGGGGGAGTGAGGAGCACCCCTCAGCCTTGCTTCCCCCTAGAACCTGACGTTGGGTGACTGATCCACCCTGAAGCTGTGCGCCCAGAGGACAAGAGGCCAGTGGGCGGGGCAGGGGCAGCGGCAGCCCCGGGCCCAGCCGGCCTGAGGACCGGCCCGGAGCAGACAGGAGGAAGAGGCTGTGGCTGGTGCAGGGCAGCGTGGTCCCCACAGCGCACGACCAGGGCCCCTGAACCTGGGGCCAGGCTCGGGGCAGGCAGGGCCTTGAGGAGGGTGCCCCTGTTGCGCACAGGCGCCCCCAGAGGCGTGACCTGAGGGTGAGGGCTGAGCACCTGGGCAGCATTTGACAGTTGCTGAAAAATAAACGTTCTGATCAGCCAGCGGGGTCTAGGCTCTGGGGTGATGGGGTGATGGCGTGCGGCGCGGCCGGCGACGGCCCCGGGCCCCGGCGTCCTGCTCGGGTGGCAGGAGCTACCGGGAGAGCGAAGCAGGCCACACAGCCAGGAGCCAGTCCCAGGCATTTTATTTACAGAGCAAAGTGCTTTGCCTGCTCGCGCCGGCTCCTCGAGGCTGAGGTGGCAGAGGGCACTGCTTACCAGGCCGGGCAGGCACCCCGGGGACTCTGAGCTCCACTGAGGAGTCTTTGTGGCCACAGGAGACCAAGTGGCGACCTTCCTGTCCTGTGTGGCTCTGCTGTGGTCATTCTGGTGCGTGGCCAGTGCTGCCAGTCCCTCCCTGGGCTGCCTGCGGGCTGCTGGGGTGGAGAAAGGGAGGCCTTCAAAGCCACGCTGGGGCTGCCGGGCAGCCAGGACGGGCCCCGTTCACGGTCTTGGCACAGAAGCCACCAGACTGGTTCCATGGCGCAGGGCCAAGGGCGGCAGGGTGACGACGATGCAGGCTGGGGGCAGCCTGCGGGGACTGAGGGCCCCTCCCCCCACAGCACAGCACGACTTACTGTCCTGCCCTCAACAGTCCTGCTCGGGGCCCTGCCTCGGGGGCCTGGCCAGCAGCGGTGCTTCAGTCGGGGTGCTCAGGGGAGGCAGGGACGCGCGCCCCCATGCCAGGGCTCGGTCTCGGTGGGCTAGATCAGCCTGAGCCAGGAGAGCCAGCCCGGTGCACCCAGGTCCCGCAGGCCCACCAGAGGGCCACTGCCCTGACGGGGCCGGGCCCACGTGGTCAGGACACCAGCCAGAGAAAACCCCCAGGAGCTCGGGCGCAGCCTCGGCCCACGGGCAGGAAGAGTGGGGAGGGCAGAGGGCTCAGGAGCAACCTCAGGAGGAAGAGGGGAGCAGCTTCTCCAGGGCCTTCTTCTGTTTCTCCGTGGCGGCCGCCAAGGCCTCAGCCAGCTTCTCCTCGGGCATCATGTTGAGCACCTTGAGAGCGAAGAGGAGCTGGTACTTGGCCGTGCTGATGAAGGCGTTGCTCAGGAAGTTGGGCAGGCCGCCCACGCGGTCCTTCTGCGTGTACAGGGGCACCCGCACGAGCCCCAGCACCTGCGCACGGAGAGCCAGGTTGAGGCCCCGCGGCACGGCAGCCCTGGCAGGGGTCCCCGGCCGCGCCAGGGCAGGCGGCCTGGGGGTCTGGTGAGGCAGAAGCCAGCTGGCACCCCAGGAGCGGGGCAGCCTCTCCCTCCCAAGCAAGTTTCCAGGCCACCCCATGCATTCCCCCTCAGCAACCTCATCCCTGCCCACGCCCCATGCTCCCCCTCCAGCCCGCGGGTCCCATACTGCAGTCACTCCCAGGCCTTGGGGAGGTAGCAAGACCCCCCACCTCCCTCCCGCCCCTCCAGGCCAGGCCCTACAAATTCCTGCAGTTCAGCCTCCCGCTTCCACCCCGCACCCCAACCCCCCCACCGACCCCTCTCCCCACTCCCAGGATTGGCAATGGCAGGCAGCAAGGCAGATGGAACACAGCCCCGAAGGTGCCCCTTCCCCGCCCCCCCCACCAGACCCCTCTCCCCGCCCCGACGCCGGACAGCGACACCCCACCCTGCCCGGCCAGGGGACCTCAGGGGGACGTGTTACCCATCGTTGCCTTCCGCGGGGCCAGAGCCAAACCCCGGGGCGGGGGGCAGGGCCCGGGCGGCGGCCCCACCTCCAGGCCGTGGTCGCGCGAGTGCACCGCGCTGATCTCCACGGCGTGCAGCTGCTCCAGCGTCAGCTGCCGCGCGTACAGGTGCGCCACGACGCGGTGCGGGCCCTCGGTCAGGTGCGAGCTCAGGTAGTCGGCCTCGGTGAGGCGCAGGCAGCCCAGGCCCAGGCCCAGCACCCGGTTCAGGCCGTCCTCCAGCGACCAGAAGCGCCGGTCCACGAAGCCCCCGGGGAAGCCCAGCAGCCCGTCGAAGCGCATCTGCATCTGCAAGGGAGGCCCGGTCACGGCCCGGCTCCCGGCGCGCCCCGGCCCCGCGCCCGCGCCGCGCCCGCGTCCTCACCAGCACCGAGAAGCGCATGGGGATGCGGCCGAAGAGCTGCCCGGGGTTGGCGGCGTACAGCATGGCGTGGCACGAGTGGCTCCAGCCCGGCCCCAGGCGCATGGCCTCCACCCGGCTGATCTGCTTGAGCTCCGGCACGGCCGGCGTAGACATCTTGGCACTGCCCCGCCGCCGCGCGCCGTCCCT